CTCCTCCTCCTCCTCCTCCTCCTTTGGAGCTCTGGAGGAAATTCCTGAGGGATTCTGCAGGCAGGACCCGGCTGGGATCTTTGGGGTGGCTGCACGGCGATCCCAAAATGAATCCTAAAGCAGCTCTGCCCGCCTTTGGGGTGGGAAATGTCCTTTTTGGGGTGGGAAATGTCCTTTTTGGGGTGGGAAATCTCCCTTTTGGGATGGGAAATCTCCCTTTTGGGATGGGAAATCTCCTTTTGGGGTGGAAAAAACTCCTTTTGGGGTGGGAAATCTCCTTTTGGGGTGGAAAAAACTCCTTTTGGGGTGGGAAATCTCCTTTTGGGGTGGCAGGGAGCCCAGCCCGTGTCCCCCCTGTCCCCCCGAGAGTGCTGGCACCCCTTTCCCCACGGATTCGTGCCCAATCTTCCTTTTGGGATGGGAAATCTCCTTTTGGGGTGGGAAAAATTCCCTTTTGGGGTTGGGACGTCTCATTTTGGGGTGGAAAATCTACTTTTTGGGATGGGAAATCTCCTTTTTGGGGTGGGAAATCTCCTTTTAGGAATGGAAATCTCCTTTTGGGGTGGAAAAAACTCCTTTTGGGGTGGGAAATCTCCTTTTAGGGTGGGAAATCTCCTTTTGGGGTGGCAGGGAGCCCAGCCCGTGTCCCCCCTGTCCCCCCGAGGGTGCTGCCACCCTTCCCCCTAGCCCAGCCCATCCCAGGGCTGTAGGGCAGGGGCTGCCCCCCGCGGGGACCCCCATTTTTGGGGATTTTCCCCGAAATCGCCGTTTCTCAGCCGGTTTTCCCGCAGCCCCGGTGGCGGCGGCCGTGCGGTCGCACTTCAACGAGTGCCCGGACTCGCACCGGCAGTTCTGCTTCCACGGCACCTGCCGCTTCCTGGTGCAGGAGGAGAAACCCGCCTGCGTGTGAGTGCCCTAAACCTGGCCCCAAAACCCCGAAATCCCAAAGGTGTGGGGTCAGGAGAAACCCGCCTGCGTGTGAGTGCCAAACCAGCCCCAAAACCCCAAAACCCCAAAATTATGGGGTCAGGAGAAACCCGCCTGCGTGTGAGTGCCCTAAAAACCGACCCCAAAACCCCAAAATTATGGGGTCAGGAGAACCCCGCCTGCATGTGAGTGCCCTAAAAACCGACCCCAAAACCCCGAAATCCCAGAGCTGGGGGGTCAGGAGAAACCTGTTTGTGTGTGAGTGCCCTAAAACCTGAGAAACCCCAAAACTCCAGAGCTGTTGTCCCAGCGATCCCAAAACTCCGGGTTTGGTGTCCTGGGGAGACCAAAACTCCGGTCCGGGCTGGCCTGCTGTGTGTCCCTGGTGTCCCCGTGTGTCCCCAGGTGCCACTCGGGGTACGTGGGCACACGCTGACCTGCTCTGTGTCCCCATGTGTCCCCATGTGTCCCCAGGTGCCACTCGGGGTACGTGGGCACACGCTGACCTGCTCTGTGTCCCCATGTGTCCCCATGTGTCCCCAGGTGCCACTCGGGGTACGTGGGCACACGCTGACCTGCTCTGTGTCCCCATGTGTCCCCATGTGTCCCCAGGTGCCACTCGGGGTACGTGGGCACACGCTGACCTGCTCTGTGTCCCCATGTGTCCCCATGTGTCCCCAGGTGCCACTCGGGGTACGTGGGCACACGCTGACCTGCTCTGTGTCCCCATGTGTCCCCATGTGTCCCCAGGTGCCACTCGGGGTACGTGGGCACACGCTGACCTGCTCTGTGTCCCCATGTGTCCCCATGTGTCCCCAGGTGCCACTCGGGGTACGTGGGCACACGCTGACCTGCTCTGTGTCCCCATGTGTCCCCATGTGTCCCCAGGTGCCACTCGGGGTACGTGGGCACACGCTGACCTGCTCTGTGTCCCCATGTGTCCCCATGTGTCCCCAGGTGCCACTCGGGGTACGTGGGCACACGCTGACCTGCTCTGTGTCCCCATGTGTCCCCATGTGTCCCCAGGTGCCACTCGGGGTACGTGGGCACACGCTGACCTGCTCTGTGTCCCCATGTGTCCCCATGTGTCCCCAGGTGCCACTCGGGGTACGTGGGCACACGCTGACCTGCTCTGTGTCCCCATGTGTCCCCATGTGTCCCCAGGTGCCACTCGGGGTACGTGGGCACACGCTGACCTGCTCTGTGTCCCCATGTGTCCCCATGTGTCCCCAGGTGCCACTCGGGGTACGTGGGCACACGCTGACCTGCTCTGTGTCCCCATGTGTCCCCATGTGTCCCCAGGTGCCACTCGGGGTACGTGGGCACACGCTGACCTGCTCTGTGTCCCCATGTGTCCCCATGTGTCCCCAGGTGCCACTCGGGGTACGTGGGCACACGCTGACCTGCTCTGTGTCCCCATGTGTCCCCATGTGTCCCCAGGTGCCACTCGGGGTACGTGGGCACACGCTGACCTGCTCTGTGTCCCCATGTGTCCCCATGTGTCCCCAGGCCTGTCCCATCCGTGTCCCTGCTGTCCCCAGCTGCTGTCGCCTGCGGAAGCGCTGGCCCTGTCCCTGTCCCTGTCCCTGTCCCGGTTGGTGCCGCGAGCCCGGAGCTGGCGCTGAGAAACCGGGGGGGCTGCTCAAGGGGGGAGCGTCCTGCTGCCACAGCGAGACAGGTGGGGGACACCGGGGACACCTGGGACACCTGGGGACATCTGGGACAGGGGAGGGACACCTGGGACACCTGGGGACATCTGGGACACCTGGGGACATGTGGGACAGGGGAGGGACACCTGGGGACACCTGGGGACATGTGGGACAGGGGAGGGACACCTGGGGACACCTGGGGACATGTGGGACAGGGGAGGGACACCGGGGACACCTGGGACAGGGACATCTGGGGACACCTGGGGACACCCGGGACAGGGGAGGGACACCAGGGACAGCTGGGGACACCTGGGGACATGTGGGGACATCTGGGGACACCTGGGGACATTTGGGAACAGCTGGGGACACCTGGGAACATCTGGGGACATGTGGGACAGGGGAGGGACACCTGGGGACACCTGGGACAGGTAGGGGGCCACAGGGGACACCTGGGGACACCTGGGG